TTTGCAGATGTTTGTTGGAGACATTTTTTGTGGTGGGTCATTATAAATGATATCGAACTTTCTGTATGGGCTGTATATAAAAAAGACATGTTAATATTCCTCTTCAAATACAACAAAAAATAAATAGACAACTTAAAAACACATATGCATGTAAATATTACAGAAACAGGCTTATCAAGGTAGGAGAAAAATGTAGGCTATATATTTTGAATCTTTTGTTGTTGACTTCAAACGACCATGCATTCAATCACACACTGTTCAATTTCACTTTTACTTGGTAAATTGGACATGGACAGCTTGCTAAAAATCATGAACAAAACTTAAGGAGATAAAGATTATACTATTATAGATTACACGATACGATAGGCTTACCTATGTGTGCAAATTGGGTGATGAAGCAAAACCAGTAGCGTCTCTTGTGGGGTATTGGGAACATGATGTCTCTACTGCTCTCTTCAGGTCAGCAGTGGTACTACAGTGACTTTGCAGCACAGTCTCTGGCGCCATACAGTGGGGGGGGAATTAAACAGAGATACTATTATTCAAAGAACACAGAGAAAACAAAGCTCTATTTTATTTGCTCTTTTTCTCCAGTGGATTTCTCCACTTCCAATTTGATTCCTGCTAAACGATTGCTTTAACACTAGAGAAAAATCCATCTCTCATCTGAAAAGCAATTCCGGCATCATCCACAGACAAAAATAAAAGCAGCGAGATGATTGAAATGTAAAGAGGAGAGTTTCCACTGGGGTTACGCTGTGTTTTGGGGGCCACTGATGAAACAAAATGCAAAAGACCTGGAGTTGAAAGCAGGAGGGTTTTAAATAAAACCTTAATTATCAGCATTAAACTAACAGATCTTACTGTGCATATAAAGTGGGATAATGTACAATCATGGTCATTATTGCAAAATACACCCGACAGGGTCACTAGGTGGAGAGGTTTATTTAACAAAACTGTCAGGCTTACTGTAGGCTACATTACACCATCATACAGCTACTTAGTAACATAAATAAATAGGGCCTACATAAAAGTTTTTTTTAAGAGCAGGTTTATTTTAAAGAGCAGTAAATAAGATGCCAAATATACAGTTTTAAACACACACACAAACACGTTTAAATAACTAATAACAATTTATAATTAAGTTATTTGTTTAATCGCTCTGTTGTTATGTAAGATATTGGCAATGTTTCATGGTATTGTTACCGTAGATTTGAAGCAGAAGTGTATGCAAATTAGACAAAAAGACAACGGCAAGAGCCTATTGTTTTGAATTATTTTTTTTTTTTTTTTTTTTTCTGTGGAGAAAATGAATGGGCGAAGTACTTCTGGAAACAAGACCGCTGAAAATATCAACTGTAACTATACTCAATAGGTGATTTTTATATTGTAAACATCATTCAAAAATTTGCATTTCAATAGCCGTTTTTTGGACTTTTGTATATAATCCTCATATTTCACCAAAACCGAACAATCTCTTTTATTATAAAAATTACAGGTAATATATCATGTCCTTTGAAAATTGACATTAATCAAAACCATTATTTCAAGAGCAGATAAGCTTCAATTTGAGAAATGATGTTGGGTTCTGTCCCATTTTTCCCTTGAAAATAATAAACCATGGACACATTCAGCAATTCACAGTGTGCTCACACACATACAAACACAACGTCATAGACCTCCGAGGCTGTCTCTCATCTCACTAAATGATACTACAAATTGAGGAACAAAACTCACAGTCGTTTCCTCTCACCTCAGTGCGGTGTCTAACACATGAAAGGATCTTCACGGAGTCAGGTATCATTATAGTCATGAAAAGACTGTGTGCAACATTGACATATCTTCACTTCCTCTACAGATCAAAGTCACTGTTGCTGATGGGTTTGCAGAGCTCATTACATGTCTCAATACACGGATCCACATCTATCAATCATCTGACTGCATTCTAGTCACCCAATACTCTGTCAAGCCCAGCGGCCAGTCTCTCCGCGGTCATGGAGCTAAACACTGAATCGTATTGCTTCAAGGTAATCCAATCAAAATGAGACAGTACACCTTGAGTGGAATTTGTTGCCGTTATTTGAGATAATGAAAGGGGACCAAGCATCTCCGGCGAGGAGATAAAATGCATTTTAGTGCCTCCTTTAACAAGAAGAAAATGGAAGTATTGATCTGTTCTGCCCCTGTGATTTCTGCTGTTGAGTGTTTGAACAGTGATATTTATGCAGGTGCTCCCACTAGCTATGCAAGGCTAGAGAGGAAAAAAGAACAGCATAAATGGTCCCAGCTGCAGCTTATACTGGCCAATAACTGACAAAATAGAGACAGGAAAGGTCTGTCTGACCCCAAAAGGTCAATAATACCTGTTCACATTTAAATTCATTTCCTCCACAGAAGTATGATTTTTTTTTTTAAATAATAATAATAATCAAGCACTTGTAATATTTGCCATGTTGTTGTTTTTTATGGAGGCATGTTGGAGTCAGATCAACCAGCAGGGGCTAAATGGGTCCACCCAGCCAAACTTTGACCCTTTGTTCTGACCTACATGAAAAGTGACCAATCAGTTTTGTTTAGGGAAGGGTTTACCTGAAAAAGTTGATAACACAATAACAGACTGGGGTGTTGTTTCACATCCAGCTGTAGGCTATAGAAAACAGAATAAACAAGTTTGAATGTGTCTGGACTTTTTAATCAGAATTTCTGTCCATCCAAAAGTAATAAATACAGATTATTTCACAAACATGACACAAAAACAAAGTACGATTTATAATCCTGTTTGTGGATATATACAAAAGTTTACTTGCTACAGAGTGCCGCAGATAAAACTCTTAATATATATATTTTAAAAACTGATGCAATTAACCTGACAATCGAATGATTATTGAACAGATTGGCAGTCCGTGGGCATGCTGTCTGAGACTATAGTGACCATATGACCTTGCCTGCCAAAGTCATAACAACACAACTATTATTTTAATATAATCCTAGATGGTAAATACATCTAAAATACACAACAGTAAAAGCTATAATGCAAAACATCTGTTTTCTTAGAATCACAACTGAAAAGGCTGCATGCACAAACAACAACAAAAAAATGTAGCTACTTTACATATTTTTGCACCATTTCCTAATGTACAAAGCTATACTGCGACACTTAGGCAATACACATTTTCATATGCCAATAAATACCTGTTAAATGTTGTACGGGTGTGAGGGAAATAGAGCGAGAAGGAAAAAGGAAGGGGTTGGTTCTCATTTGCTGACTGACTGCCCTCTCCTGGCCTCTCTGTCAGAGGAATATTAAACCGCATTACATCTTCTCTTGGCTTTAATGAGGCTCACTAAAGATGCTCACAGCAAAGACAGGGCAAGGTCAGAGCCAGCTGACATGCCGGTTCTTCAGAAAAATCCGCTTGTCTCCCTGATCACCCTTAAGACTCCCTGTCCTAAAGATTTGCCCTCCAAAGCCCTTAAACTTTCAGTTTTGAGACCCTTTATCATTGCCATGCATTCTAAAACAAGAGGGAAAAGACAGGATAAGGAAGTTATGCTGGTCTCAGCACTGCATATCATTCAAACACTGGAGAAAGTTTGAATATATTGACAATGTACATGAAACAAGAGAGAATACATGTTAAGCAGCAGAAATGGGCTAGTGGGCTGAATAGTTGTGGGGGAGGGGTTAGGATTAGGATTAGGGCAATCAGGTACTGACTTCAACGAGGGGGGTAATAATTTGGCAGGGAGTCAAAATTCGGCACAACACCTGTTGGCACTCGCAAGAAAATGGATTAGTAGGCTACATAATCAAATTCACAATATGAGACCATTTATTATAAATATACTGAGTACTAAAACATTCTTTGTTAAAGAATACTCTTGTTTGTTCACAGTTTGAACGTTCTTCTTTCCATTTGTTTAATTTCAAGATCTGAAGGGAATTATCCATTGTTGCTTTCACGGCTACAAAGCTGGGAGCCCTAAATGATATTCAAAGTCACATTACACGCTTTTAACATTAAATAAAGAATATAAACAGTACCTGAGATTATCAATGCCACACTTTGTGTTTGTTCCAGTGCAACGTCGCAGAAAAATAGAAACAGTTTCTAAAATAGAATCGTCACGTGTCGCCATCACGACTGGTTAGGGCAGAAACTCTGATTAACATGGAAAAGATACATTTTATTGCGTTGCATCATCGCGTGTAGTTAGGACAAGGTGTGATGTGTGTGCACTAACTTGGAACAGGACAAATAAAGAGTACAAATTCTGAGTATGAGTTACCATACTTAGGCTTCTTGTCACTTAAACAAATAACTCAAAGCAGAATGATTACTTGTGCAGCCTGGTTTGACTTAAGGCAGGACATACAGCAAGTTTAAGCAATGAACACATTTGGTTAGTGTACACCACTAGTTGCAGAAATGTTAGGCAACCATTACTAGTTCATCGCATTATATCAGAAATTAGTGATTGAAATGCCAAATAAAAACAATTAAAAAACTCACTGTGTGAAATGGTTAAAACAAATGGGAGATGGAAACACATTCGCAGATTAAATAAAGACGTAGTGAACATTAAACCCAAATGACAAAATCAGCCATTTCCACTGATGGCGTATACTATTGGTTACCAATACCACCATCTGCTTGAACAGGCACCTTATTATAGTTTCTCTTTTTTGCTAACTTTGAAAGGGTCACTTCACATTTGGGTAGAAAAAACAGCTACTGATACACATTTAAAAGCATGCCTATGGCAAAAAAAAAAGAAAAAAAAAAGGAATACAATGAAACATTTAGATGAGGCATGTAGCCTGATTTAAGGCAGCATGGCACCTGCAGCAGTGAGATTGGGGTTTAAAATACCACAGGAAACAAAATTCCCATTAAAGCAATTTATTGATTCAAGTTACATTTATAAAAGCACACCAGATTTATGCCATTTAGCACTGACATTAGTCCAAGGTACAGATAAATGTATAAGACAGTCCATTAGCCCTTGACAGATGAAAAGTATCGTCCTGAAGTGGAGGAGCTCTGGGAAGGTTTCTGGCCATAGGTGGAGGAGTCTGTGGGGTGTTGAACAGAACCAAACAGACCAGGGGACATTTGTCTTCGGATAGAGCCTGAAGCAGCCTTGGAGGAGAGCATAGAGGGTCTGAGTCCTACACCAGAGAGGCTTGAGGTCCTCCAAGAATTAGAAATAGAACTCCGGCTACTCTGGGACACAGAATCCACATGAGGGTTCAGGGCTGCCATGAAGAAAGAACCAGTGGAAAATTGAGGGGAAGAGCTCTGGTCACTAGTAGATTGTCTAGAAGAATCAAGGAGTGAAAAACTACGCTTGGCATATGCAGGAGACCCAGGGTTATATCGACTTGAGGCACTTTGAGACTGGCTGGACAAGCTACTATATCTGCCACTTCCATCCTGTGTGGAGAAAAAATTGCCAGGACTTGTTGCTGATGTAAGGGTAGAGAACCTGCTGGGAGACTTAGAACCTTGAGATAGAGAGCCACTCTGTGATGCCACTGTACCAGAGGCCTGAAAACCTTGGGACCACCTAGAGGTGGAAGGCTTCAATTGAGATGTCTGGCTCGTAGACAAGGAAAATCCACTTGGATCAGCCTGACTGTACACTGGCACTTTTGCATCCAAAGCAGCAGGGGCATACTGGCTAGAGGCACTTTGAGACTGGCTGAACAAACCACTATATCTGCCACTTCCATCCTGTGTGGAGAAAAGTTTGCCAGGACTTGCTGGTGATGTAAGGGTAGAGAACCTACTGGGAGACTTAGAACCACTCTGTGATGCCACTGTACCAGAGACCTGAAAACCTTGGGACCACCTAGAGGTGGAAGGCTGCCATTGAGACAGTTGGCTCAGAGACGAGGATCCACTTGGAGCAGCCGGTTTATACGGAGGAACTTTTGCAACCAAAGAAGCAGGGGCATACTGGCTAGAGGTACCTTGAAGGTGAAGAGATGAGCCATCAGTAGAAGTGCTTCCTGTCTGCATGGGCACATAAAGACTAGATCCTGCCAGCTGAGCACCAGCTCTACTTAGGGAGCTGGATGTATATACATTGGAGAAAGATTGGCCAGGACTTGCTGCTGTTTTAAGGGTAGAGAACCTACTGGGAGACTTAGAGCCTTGAAATGGAGAGTTACTCTGTGATGCCACTGTTCCAGAGGCCTGAAAACCTTGAGACAACCTTAAAGTGGAAGGCTTCAATTGAGATGGCTGGCTCGTAGACAAGGAAAATCCACTTGGAGCAGCCTGACGGTACACTGGCACTTTTGCATCCAAAGAAGCAGGGTCAAACTGGCTAGAGGTACCTTGAAGCTGGAGAGAGGCACCATCAGCAGATGCAGAGGACAGTGAAACGAACCTACTAGGATATTGAGAGATGCTCTGCGATACACCAGATGTCTGAAATCCTTGGAACACCGCTGTACTAGATGGCTGAAAAACGTTAGTCCTAGCGGTTGAAGGCTGCCACTTCTGAGATGACTGGCTTATAGACTGAGAGGATCCACTCAGAGTTGCTGGATAGTACTGACTGGGCACAGGCACTTTTGCACCTAAGGAAAAAGTTGGAGCATACTGACTAGTGGTACCTTGAGGCTGGAAAGATGAGCCATAACTACTTTCCAGTGTAGGCACATATTGACGGGAAGCTACCAGCTTAGTGCCAACCCTCCTCTGGGAGCCTGATGTATACTGGCTGTAAGAGCTCTGACCACTGGTAGACTGGCTAACACTTGGGGGTGAAGCAGCAAGTTTGGTATAGATCTGACTTGCAGTACTTTGAGATTGGGGTAGCAAGCCACTTACACCATCTGTAGAAAGAAGCTGACTGGAACTGCCTGCCAGCTGTGGCCCAGAGCTGCCCTGAGAGGTGTCAGTAAACTCACTGAGGGAACTGGCTGAGGATCCAGTGGAAGAGCTACTCTGAGCAGAAAGTGGACTAGAGGTTTCTCCCAATTGAACGCCAGACTGGCTGGCTATATCCTGGACACTTGGACTGAAGGAACCTTGAAGTTGTAGCAGTGATGTGTTGCTGTATAAACTGTGCAGATTTTGAGGCAAGACCAAGGAAGCAGACACAGAGGAACTCGGTGCACTTTGGGTATGAGACATAGATGCAGAGCTGCCTGAAATGCCACCTTTTACATACTGACGTGAAAGGGAAAATCGAGACCTGCTGGGATTCAGGCTTTTCCCAGCAAGCACATTAGAGGCCACTTCTTCAAAAGGAATGCTTCCAGTCACTGGAGCCTCAAACACTGAAGACTGGGCTCCCCGAGGTGAGGCGATCTTGTGGTCATGCCATTTCTGGTGAGGCGGAACATCATGAGAACTCCAACCTACAGAACATGGGCACAGCAAATAAAGAGAAATTAGGTGACATCTTCAAAATGTCTTATTTTATTAATTAAAAGGATACCCACCTTTCTGTCCAAATGCATGCTTCCAAAAGATCAATAGGATCAATAGCATAGGGACCCTAGGGAGAAAAAAGAAACTATAATAATATATATATATATATATATATATATATATATATATATATATATATATATATATATATAAACTTTTGCACATGCAACATATGAACATCAGAAACACTTCAAATAAAGATTTAACTAACCTTTTCCACCCCAGGTCCATAGCAAAATAATACATTAACAGAACTACTTTAACACTAACAATTGAGTCTGTCACTCCAAACCAAAACAGCTAAAAATCTATGTATACTTTCAAAATCAGGCATTTGTTTTTATAGGCCTATTTGTCCAATCAGCTCGCTTTTACAATTACATAAAATACTGTTCACCTGCAGAACACGTAGTTGTCAATCAGTAATTAAATATAATCACCTGTCTCATCCTATACCAGCAATTACTTATCCCATCAGGCCTGCACCATAAAACATATTTGTGTGGCTACCTGTAAAATAAAATAAAAATGTGAAATTAGTGTTATAAATGTGAACAAATACATTGTAATGTTTTGAGAGTCATTAGTGCAGGAGATTGCACACACATTGCAGGTAACATGGAACTGATTCACCGTGAAAAATGTCCACCTATTTCAACTGAAAAATGCACATTTGTACCCAAAAGTTTTATTGTGTGTTGCTTGGGAGAGAGAGAGAAAAAAACATTTCAATATTGTTCTCTTTAACATTATTGCCCTTTATACTAAAACGCTGAAAATCCATTAATTGGCAATCCAGCTGCATGGTCTTCTCAAACAAGACCTTGAAAGTTTATTTTTTCACTTGAAGTAAAAAATAATGTACTGGTTAGAATTATATTGCAGAATGACAATGGTTTGTACAACCACAAGGCTAAGCTGCATTGTTTGTTCAGGGAATTGTTGAACTACCTTTTTTTTTTTTTTTTACCTTGAATATGGTGGCTTGTGAATAATCCAATAAAATAATAGACAGACATAAAGGTAATAAAGAGAGCAATGCATTTTCACATTCAAATGTCTTTTATGCAAGCAAGAGTGCAGCTAACAAATAAGTTAATTTAATTAATATACTGCTAAAAGCAGGTTATTCTTAAAAAAAATACTGTAAAAAAATAATGAAAAAAAAAATTGTTTGTTTAAGAGTAAGTGCAATTGTTATGTTGTTTTAATTAATCTTATATGCTATTATAGTAGACCTATATGCATTGAACTATGCATATGAAGATATTTGTATAACCTTCATTTTCAGAATAAACAAGAAAAAGCACTTTCTTTCCTAATTATGAAGTGTCTCGATCATTTAAAAAAAAAAAAATGGTGTAATACCACTATAGTTCAACCAACAAAATGTAACCACCAGACCAAGAATTCTCAAATAATTTAAATAAGCCAAAATGTCAGTAATAAATGCAAATATAAAAGACACATTTTGGAGACCTACAACTATCATTACTTGATGCCTTATTACCCACTGAAAACAAATCAAATTTAAAGCACATTATATTTATAATGACCTTCACAATGTGTATATAGTGTTGTCTGTAATGCGTTCCTTCTCTTTAAGAGAGTGTGATGAGCATGTGCTAGTGTGTACCTGCGGTGATTATGCATGACTATGAACAGTGGTTGCCATATGTTTCAGTTCATGCATCAATGAATATTTGAGCGTGTTATTGTGGGGAGATGTGTTGAAATGTTTAAAAGGTTTCCTCAGCACAACCATCAGGTTATCAAGGGAGTGCAGCAATTACCCAGAACCACAGGTGCGTGCGTGTGTGTGTAAGAAAGAGGAACATAATGGCCACTCTACACTCTCGGCTCAAAGCCAGATGAGGTGTGGGTCGACTTCCCCCCCAACCAACCGACGACTGCTGATTAATATTTATGGATCTTTAAATCACAATAAGAGAGTTCTTCCTGTCCCCAAGAGCTTGGCAGAGTCACTCTGTCTGAAAAGCTGAAGAATCACATTAATTAAAGCAAGTGGACGTGATCGTGGTGCATCCATCATTCCCATACTCATTAATGAGGTCACATATCCAGGATAAAAACTCAAATAAAGGCGGAAAAATTAGCCTAATCTAACAACCTGCAATGAAAAGCAGTTAGTTGAGCTCTTTAATTAGGGCACAGATTCACACAAGATGGTTTTACATGCCAAATCATTGACTGAGACGTTAAAGAAAAACAGGATTTATATTAATGGAAATGCACACTGCGGCATCGCAGAAAACAGCAAAGGACTAACACGTAATCATTGCGTTTAAATAGTAAATACTAGCAAATTTGAAAGAAAATTCAAATACATAGACATGTCTAGGACTTGGATCATGCCCAATGCCATTTTTATTGAAAATGGTTGCAAGGGAAGGGACATTCTCATTCAAAAAGCATTTGATTGGGCTTAACTTGGCCACAGGAGACACATTTAACATTTAAGACAAGTCAAAACCAGGTGTACATTTTAATCTGTCTCGACTGACCACTTGTAATCAGATCACCAGAGATGGATATAAACACCAGGTGTGCACAAGGTCTAAAATATGTCAGTGCAACCAAAACAGATTAGAACACAATTGGATTTATTGGATTTACTACAGCAAAGTTTCAAACTTGGATGGAATAAGTCTAATGCGAGTTCTCCAGTCCTGAGGTTAAATGTGCAGGTTACAGGTGTTCTTCAGTGCTGGAATAGTTCAGTTTTCTCCTTTCAAGACAGACACCAGCTCACCATTCTCTTTCAGCTCCTGTTTAATGAAATAAACACATTTTCCATCCTTTTATCTAGAAGTATGATACAGTAAAAATAAAATAGAATAAGTCTCAATTTGCATAGTATCCTAACCCTTTAGCAATGATTCTCCACTGGAGTGTCATGATCCAAAAATTAAATTTTTATGACAAAATATCCAAATGCAAGTCACCAAATACTAATTTTTAACAGTTCAACAACTTTTACTAACTTCTTTATGTAATGCATTTGTGCTATAATTTGTGTTACATTTATTTAAAATAAATTTGGTGGATAATGGATCTAATGCATTGACCAAGAATTTTTAGGTTCAGAGATAGCATCCGCTGTGTGGAGCTCATTGTAAGCTTTATCTGCCCTCTGCTGGAGAAAAAACCCACTGCAGCACACAGTACATCTCACTTTTATAATGTTAAAACAGTTCAATAGTGTGGGGCAGCAGCGATGACGTATTTTTGTAGGCCAAAACTCGGACACGAGTTAGCATCGTCCTGAAGTTTTTGCTTGAAATAAGGTCAGTGGTGAACAACTCAAGACATTATCACGTTTTATTTTACCATATGAAATACATCCGTAATACCCTCTTGTGATTTTTTTAAAGCTTTTACTTGTCTTGTAACAGGCGGTTGCTAACAAGTGACAATGGGACTACAGAAGTTGTCGGGGACATTAAATGTCATCAGCCGAACAGGTAAACTCATCTACTCATTAGATCCCTTTCACAGGAAATGACATCATTTCCTGTTTTTGGTTCATGTCAATCCTTCTGTTAAGGGCGTTCTCGGTCCACCTGTTTGGTGTGCACCAGGGTTCAGATGGCATTTCACACTTATTCAAATGAAGCGCACTAACAGAGCAATCGAACCTAACATGTCAAGTGTGAACACACCCTAGTACTATATTATTGGAACCTATAATCATTTACATTCATTCAAATGCAATGCTATTTTTAGTACCTAATCCTACATTTTTTTGTATAGTTGTTGTTATGCGTTTCACCTTGACTATGTCCAGTCCTCCGATGAGATCCCCTTTAACATACAGCTGTGGGAATGTCGGCCAGTTGGAGAACGTCTTGAGTCCTTGTCTAACCTGTGGAGACAATCAAAAGTACATGTGTGGGCTAAAAACACCAACCTACAAACTATTCATTTAGGGACATTTCCACAGTAAACAAAATCATATTCTAAACATAATGTTTTAATTTGTGTTCAGTTCTCAGTATATAGGGAGCTCTTTCATGAAGTTGCTTTGGCAAGACGACATTTTCCAAGAACATAAATCGAAATACAAACTTCAAACTGATGGAACTCTCACCTCTTCATCTTCCAATATGTCAAACGTATTATATTCAACACTGAAATGTTAATAAAAAAAAAAAAAGTTACTTTAATAACATGCATTTAGGCTTTTAATAATTCATAAATGTTAAGAACATTCTCTAAAAGAGCTTTGTTAAATTACACAGTATGTGTAGATTAGTGAAAAGTCTCTCACCCGGAGCTGTTCATTATTTCAAGTATCTGACGGCTGAATCCACACTTGGCAGTCTGAGTATTCACAAAGACATGAGTTAAGAGGGTAAAAAACGCTAGAACATTTTTCATATCATAAAAGGCTGCAGTGAAGTGATGCCCTGCGCTTGAAAGCCAATCAGAGGAAGCAAGGTTTTAACTCCACCAAAACACACACAGACTACTGGAAAAGCTCAAAGCACAGAGTACATAAGACTCGAGTGGCTCCTCTGGGCCCAAACCAGCACAGAAACAAACTTTCATTTAGAAACTTACAACTGCAACCACCTACAAAAGATATTCTGAAGTGCGTCTCAATAACTAGGGGAGAAAGAGGAGTTAATAGAACAAGAGAGACAGAGAGAGAAGCCAGTCAGACGAGAGGAAAGAGAGATCTCATGGGGAAAGACTTTAAACTACTGCAAAGAATGTCTTTCATGTGTGAGTGTTAAAAGATCAATACAGTTATGAGGAGAGAGGTGAGGGGTCTTTCTCCTCCATTAAAGAAGGAGAAGTAGATTTATCAGTGCTGGAGACGCCTGACATCGATTTCCAGAGCCTCTTTACCCCTACACGCCTTCTCTTACTGTACGCTAAAGGAAAAGATCACCCCAAAAACCTTCTCTTACTCACCTTTATGTCATTCCAAACCCACATCATTGGAACTTCATCGGAAAACAAAGGACGAAATTTAGGAGAATGTTCTCGCAGCAATATTACTTTATTAATGTTCTAAAATAATGTTATACAATCATTTTATAGTTCATTTATTATTTTAAAATTAATTAAAATTTTAATTATTATTAATAATAATACTAACAAAACAAAAAAACAGAACAATTGCAGAATGTAAATTATTATTTTATTAATTATATTTGTTTATAATTTTTTTCACTTATTTAAAATTATTCTAATAATAATAATAATAATAATGACAGCGTTGTTATCATTAACCACAATCAACTATTAAAATTTTTTTTGTTAATTGAAATAAAGCTGAAATAAAATAAAATATAAATCAGGCGAAAAACAAACTAAATGAACATTTTTAAATGTTGCTTTGGCTACTATTTGAAGTATTGCAAGCACT